ATTTTACCATAAACTTGGGCAGAGGAATTGCTTGAACATTACATTGAGTGGCAAAAATTCACTGTAATGTTGACAAGAGGCAATCTGCTTTCTGGTATATCTCAGCTCCTCCTTGTCTAAGAGGTGAAATGAAGGTATATGAAGATGAATATAATATAGCTATCTAATGAATATGCCATAGACTAGCAGCCAGGAGACTGCTGGCTCCTGTGCTTTTATGCTCTGGCAAGTCACCTTCACTTTTTGTGTCCTAGTTTTTTGCATCTGCAAATGGAAAACATATCTATTTTCATTTGCCTTTGCAAAGCAGAAGTAATATGAATTCTGCAGAAAGCCTTTAAGTTAAATAAAGCCCACAGTGCTTTTAAAAATCATTCTTGCAAAATAAAAATTAGCCATTGTCATGAAGTTATCTTGGTTTCATTTTTATTTGTGTCTCAGACATGAAGAATAGAGATGTCACAGGATAATGAAAAGTGATGAGACCATCTACATGCTCTATGAACTTAACAACCTTTGTCATTTTTTTGGTGTATATAGTATAATTAGAAAAACTAAAAATATGTTACCTTGAACGAAATATTTATTGCTCTGTACACTATTTTGTATAGCTTTTAAAAATGTTTCTCAGCCAATAGACAGGTTTGGAAGTAAAGGCAATTATAAAATGCAGAATTTGTTTTATCTGGGATTTTAGGTTTTGTCACCTTAGGATATATTTGGTTACATTTCAGGAACTTTAAATGTGAATCCTGATTTATTGAATGGCTCCTCAGGGAAGCCTTGTTTAAATGTTACATGAATAAGGCATCCACAGTTTTAAATTAAAATTCTAATAATTAATAGTAATAGTCAAGTAAAAACTGAAATATATCACTAAATTTAACAATCATAAACTTTAAGAAAGCTTATGGATAGCCTCTGGAAAAAAAATTTTTTTTTGACCAGTAGGGGATCGCAACCGTCGGCACAGTGTGGTCTGCACCACACTCAGCCAGTGAGTGCACCAGCCATCCCTATATAGGATCCGAACCCGCGGTCTCGGTGCTACCAGCGCCACACTCTCCTTAGTGAGCCACCGGGCTGGCCCAGCCTCTGGAAATTCTGGTGAATAACAGGATTTAATGTTTATGTAGAGATAAATTACAAAATGTTTCTTACCAACATGACTAACATTGGAGAAGTTTTCTAAGAGAATTTGAAGAAACAATCATCAATTTATTTTTAAAACTAAATTTTCCATCTAAAGTCTTTTACACCAAAAAATGTGGAAAAACAGTAGTTGCAGAATTATGAAAAGAAATATATAAAATACTCCTGTAGTAGTGAAATGCTCATATACATTTGGAAGAAATGTGAATTGGCAAAACATTTTGAAAGGGAATTTGGTAGAATATAAAATTTTATGTGTCCATATCCTTTAATAAAGCAATCCTACTTTCAGAGATTTATTCTGTGTATGTACTTGTACAATTGCCCACAGATACATCTAAAAAGCCATTGAAGGTGGAATTTTTTTAATAATGGAAAACTGGGAATTTGATGTATAGGAGAGCCACTCAGAAGAATATGGTGGATCTGTATACATTAACCTGAAAAGCTGCCCAAGACATAACTCTAACAAAGAGAAAGAAAGAACACAGGTTGTAAAAAAGTACGGATGTATGAAGCAATTTATGAAAAAGTTAATATACATATATACATTTATTTGTTTTTTTTTAACGATTTTTTTTAAAGAGTAGTTTTAGGTTCACAGCAAAACTGAAAGGTACAGAGATTTCTCATATGCCCCTGTCACGACATATACATTTATTTTTAAAAATATGATTGTCTGTGTAGAGAAACTCTCTGAAAGGATAAACAAGATATTTTAAACAATGGATTCCTTAGAGGTTGGAATTATAAAAACTAAGGTAGCAAGAAAATTTTTTCTTTTTGGTGTAAAGATTTTATCTTAAAATTAAATAATTAACAATAGAATTTTACTTATTTAATAAAATGATTTTTTATCTATATTCCTATGGTAAATTAATGGTAAATCAAGTAGTTATATTGCTTTTCTTGAAGATTTGGAAAATATTATGGCTTTCTGTAAAAATTAGGATATAGTTTAAATACAATATTCTATTAAAAACAGAATGAAACTATAGGAAGAGAATCAAAATATTACAGTATATTTAGGGTATGTGTGTTTTTTCTCCCTTGAATCATACTGCCTTAATTTCAAATTACATTAGCAAAACATGATGTCTCTTAAACATAGCCCTGCACATGGGAAAAAATGTATTTCCTAATGAACATCAGAGGATCCAAAATTGTCACGGTTTGCTTTTTTGGTTCCTTATCTAATTCTGTCCTTGCTGACAATGCGAGAGAAAAAAGGGGTAAGACGTAGCCACATCAAAGGCACGAGTAAATACCATTGTTCACACTAAATCTTACCAGAATATTGTGAAATATAAATACATGTGAACTAAAAAATTAATTCCCTAATGGCCAGTGAGCTCACTGGCTGAGCGTGGTGCAGACCACACTGTGCTGAGGGTTGTGATCCCCTTACTGGTAAAAAAAAAAATTCCCTAAAGGCCAATTGAAGAAAAAAATTAACATAAATATTTAACGTTAATATTCTTTCATTAAAAGTAAAAACCATAATACTTCAGAATACAACACAGAATTATTACTTTTTTTCTAGAGAAAACATAAGGAAGATAAATTGGAGTTTACCTTAAGCATATTCACTTCCTCCAAGGCATCATTTCTTTCATGCTTAAGCCTTTCCATTTCATTTGCTTCTAAAGAATCACAGGGAAGAAGCTGTCAATATTAAAATATAAGAGAAAAGTTATGCATTAGATGCTAATTATGAGAACTAACATAAAAATTCTTTTGACTAGTCTTAGGCTTTTGCATTCTAATAAAATTTAGCTTCTTACGTTGGAGTCATCCCATTAGATAAAACAGAATATTAAAGTAATCTGGGGATAATTTTATTAATTTAAACTTAATCTTACATTGTTACTTATAACAGAATTTAGATGCTTATAAAGTATACATACTCAGCTGTCACCTTTATGATTCTTATTTTAACAATATAATTTTCCTTAAAAGGAAATTCCAAGACTGTGTTTATAATGTCAAAAAGTCTTTAGGAGTTATTAACATAAACTCTATTCCCTAAAGACATTCGTTCTAAGAGCATGGTACTTAAGGATAACAAAATGCTGTATATTATCAATCAAGATGGTTTACATGAGCCCAGTAAAGTGTATTTATCAATTATGTATATGGTTTTTAACTAAATGAAATGTAAAGCAACAGCCAACTGGCTTAAAAAGATTCCTGCACAGAAACGGTCAATTGAAGATAACATTAACAATTCATGCACAAGTGAATATCAACAAAAAATAGCTGAGATGACAATTTCTCCTATGTCTAGCATGATATCTTTGACAGTCGATTATAAGGTAAAAAACAACGACAGTATAATCAGAGATAAAATCCAAGTATAAAGGCATCTCTATATGGAGGCTGTAAAAGAGCTTAAAAAAAAAAAGTACAGAAAATATAATGTAAAGGATTAAGTGGAGAGAGCAAATGTTATATAAGTATGGGCTTAAAGTAGGGCCCTTTAGATGGGAGGGGTGAATGAAGAATAGAAAAAGATAATAAAAATAATAATATCAGCCATTTAGTAGGAACTTACTATGTGTAGAAATATTGCTAAGGACTATATGTATTCAGTACAATAGCCTTATGAAAGCCCTGTCTCCATTTTACAGATGAGAAAATGAGCTTGGAAAGGTTAATAACTTGTCTAAGGTTTCACAGCTAATAAGTGATCATTCCAAGATTCCCACAGAGGTCTGACATCATGGTCTGTAATTTCTGCTAACTGTATAACAAAAATCATGGTGAAATGAATATGATAAACTGGTATTTGCTTTCCAAACCATAGGATAAGAGAAGTAAGAGTTATTCTTCAAGTTTGGGGAGAACTTTTTTTCCTGAATGTTACTGGTTCCTTTTGCCCTGCCTCATTAGCTTTTGGGTATCTGTGGCCAGAGTCCATAATTCACATGATCTCATATTCTTCACCTGTCTCAGTTACTGTTTCTCACAAGTATTGAACACATACACTTGTAAGAATTCATTTCTATATTGTTTTAGATTAGTTTTGAACACATTTTGAAATGTAACATTTCCCAAAGTGTGTTCCTAAGGACAATAAATAGTTTTGTGTAAAAGCAAAATTGGGTGATAGTGATGAAGAATTTAGAAAAAATTAACCCACTTCCTGCATGGCTTCCAACAGCCTTAATGTACTAATGAGCATTTGAATTTCCAAAAAGCAAATACAATTTAATAACTTGTCACGTTTTCCCAGTAATTTGACCATATTACAAAGCCCTCACCCCCTCACACTGCCACCTTTTGTACTAGCTCATGAAACTAATATCTGCAAAGCACATTCTGTGAAACACTGCTATTCAAAATTCATATGGCCCTATTGTATCTTCTTATCCTAAGAAGTAAAATAAGCAGGATTCAAAAACTTAAATTTTTATATAACAGAGTTATAATAATTTATTAAGAGAAATTATGGATGGGGATTTTAGGGATGTGATCATAAACTTTTGAGCTTAACATCATGGAAGCAAATCACGCATAAAAGAATCCATGATACCATTTTGGGAGGCAAAGTACTAAACAGTCAGAGAACAAATCATGACTTAAAAAAAAAAAGTTTTATAATCCAATTGCTATTTTGGACTAAGAAGCAAAAACATGTAGCAGAGAACTGGCCACAGATGTTAGTTGTTAATTCTTTGAAATGCCCCTTTGTGCTCACTCATTTTTTATTTTTAAATATAGTTCAATTCAAATATACTTCCACTGAGCAAGCAGCAAATGAAATGAATTGTTGCTATTTAACACCAATGATTAGACAGATGCCTTTCAAACCTACCTCCAACACTTGAACTTTATCTTCCTTACCTCGTATAAGCCGTTCCTGTCTAGCTCTCACAATACCATTTGTGATCCTAGGGCCCCCTGACTTTTGCAATACCTGGTAAAAAACATAGTAAATCATTTTTTACTCTGCTCTCTCCAGTCTCCTTCTGGATATACCAAGAGACTTGGTAGGTCACTGGACTGTGCTGACTAGGTCTGACTGCTCCACCATCATCCTTTTATTTGACGTATATCAGTTCTGGAAAGCTATTATTCCATCGGCTACATTCCCCAACCTCAATTCATCTTAAACAGCACTAAACAATAATCTCTGTTTCAGTCTAATTTTATTGATAAGGCCTTCCTTTAGAAACCCCTTCTATGACCTCCTTTTTTTATAAAATTGTGACTGCACCATCCTATTCACCTAAAAATTTCTGTGTATTCCCTTCTTTTCTCCTTCCTTTCCCCTGCTCACTCCTTTACTTCTTATAATCTGATTTATGCATCTTTCTTCCCATCTCCATATTTCTAAAATGATTACTTGCAATTTCACCAATAAAACTGCTATTTGACAGTTAATGCCCTCAGCAACTTTCTTTTTTTTTTTTTTTTCTTTAGCTCATGATTGATTTTCTCCATAAATTATTTTGGGCTGTTCTTGCATATCAAAGGCCACATAAAGAGTCATTGTACTGATTGTTAATGGCTCCCTGAGAATGAAGATATAT